ACGCTTTTCCCGGTTAGGGTACCCCTCCGCATCGTCACATAAGGAATTTCGTTCCAAAAACTTGCTCTCTTTTGCTCAATAAAAATCTTTACATTATCCAATCGAGCTTCCATGCTTAGGGAGACGTTTTAAAATCCGAACACGTTCTTGTGCAACAAATCCGTGTTTAAGTTTTTAAACTCGCACCCAGCCGCATCCAGCCGCACTTCAATATTTATTTTTACGTCATAATTCAGTTTCGCTCAGCTTCCCGACTGCGTATTCGCATCACGTACCAAAGCAGACCGAGCCAGTAGAAATAACATTATATCATCGTCGCTTTATTGTTTCGCAGCTTCCGTAATTAGAGGGTTTTGATCGAGCTGCAAGAAAAACTAGAATTTTTATTGCTATCTTAGCATTTTCATATTTAATGACAATGCTTATAGTTAGAAATCGTTTTTCAATAATGAATATTAGTATTTTAAGTCAATTATTCAAATCTGTGATTAATATTCATTAAATAAATAATGTTACTGACGTATATACATATTATGTGACATCTATACCAATATATAAATCTACAGTGGTTTTTACGGATGTTCCGTTATAACTACTGAACTATGCATCCGATTGACTTGAAACTTAGTATTCATTTAGAAAATACATGTACATAATGGATAGGCTACCCCTCTAGATAGATAATATTTATATGAGTGCTGGACTCCCTACATCAGTTGCGGGGGCGTTAATAATGAGAATCTTCGTATAACTACTAAACCATGCCACCGATTGACTTGAAACATGGTATCCATGTAGAAAATACATGTACTTAATGGATAGGCTAATATTTATATGAGTGTTGGACTCTATACGCCAGTTGCGGAGGCGTTAACGATGATAATATTTGTGGGGGTGAGAAATAATAATGTTAATTTTAAATGCCCAGCGAAGCGGACGGGTACAGCTAGTATTAAATATTTCTGTTTGTGTTTCAACAGTGATTAGTAGCATTGTAAGCCTACCTGGGTAATATACCACTCTCATGCCTATTTCTGCCGCTATGCATGCATTCTGGTTTGAAGAACAAGATCATGTTATACAATACGATTTTGATTTACACCTCATCCAAAGGCTGGTAGAATCCAGTAACTACTTACATATAGTGGACCGTAAAGACAATAAAATAGTCTAACAATTTGTGAATAAACATGTTTACTTTTTACATCATCATACGACCAAGATAACATATTATATGTCAAGAGTATCCGATTGTAGGGAGAATGAATAGTAAAATATACCTTAAATACTCTTAAAAACGCCAAAAGAGCAACGTATAAAACAGGAAAGGATGGAAGGAAGTTATACAGTCTCGAAGTTTAGCGTTTATGGAATATTTTACAGCTGCTTGTCTCTTCCGGGAAATAATTCATCTCGTACAATATATTAGAAATAATCTTCATTCATACATACATCCTTTTTTTTTTTGCTTAAATGGGTGGACGAGCTCGCAACCCACCTGGAGTTAAGTGGTTACTGGAGTCCATAGATATCTACAACGTAAATGCGCCACCCACCTTGAGATATGAGTTCTAAGGTCTCAAGTATAGTTACAACGGCTGCCTCACCCTTCAAACCGAAACGCATTACTGCTTCACGGCAGAAATAGGCAGGGTGGTGGTACCTACCCGCGCGGACTCATAAGAGGCCCTATCCCAGTCAAGAAGTCCTACCACCATACATAAAATTAAAAACGGATACAATTGTCAATAGACGAAGCTCTCTTCGTTTTAAAACTCCTTTTAAAACCCAAGGCCACTACTGGATTCTAGGATATCTTTCATTAGAGCAATGATCGTGTTGAATATTTTTCTCCAAGTGCAGCAAAAATTTGAAATGTTTTGATACTGGATTTTTTGAAGTCGAGCCTCTGTATTATTACTTTTTTTGTTACTCAGACAGTTTACATTTATTGAGGTTTTATCTTAGACTGTCCTTGTTTGTTTTTTTTTTAACTAATAGTTCAATTTTTCAGAAACTATTAATCAAAGAATGTTAGAAGAACTATATAAATATAATACATATAACCTAGAATATTATATAGTTAAGGATTGCCTTGTTAGACAAAAAATCCATAGAGAAGTTGAGTTTACTTCCATCTATACTTTGAAGTTCTTCAGCTTTTTATTTTAAAAATAAATTAGATTATAGACATCATAAAATACTTTATTGAGCACTAGCGACCCGCCCTCGTTTCGCTTCGGAAACATTAAAACACACATGAAAACAAAAAAAAAAAATTTAAAAAAAATTTTTAAAAGTAGCCTATGTTCATCAGGGACAATGTCGGCTTCTAATGGAAAAAGAATTTTTCAAATCGGTCCAGTAGTTTCGGAGCCTATTCGAAACAAACAAACAAACAAATCTTTCCTCTTTATAATATTAATATTATTAGTATAGAAAAACAAAAAAGGGCATTTAAAAAAAAAAATTTTAGTGTATTTGTAGAAAATGAATTTGCGTATTGAATAGTCGTGTTGTGCAAGTTATATCAAAGCAAGCCCACGCAATTGTACAGCTTCTATAAAACTTAATTCAATTCCGGACAATGACCTGGCTTCGCTAATAACGCCCAGAAGTTTTTACACGCTCGATATAAGTGAATTATATCTTTTGAGAAGTTGAAATGTTTTCTTAGTTCCTTCCACTGTTATATTATGAAAGCTTAATGCGAAAACTAAAAGCTACTCAGTTTGTGTTCTAAAAATATATTGCATTTTGTTTGTTTGGTATTGTGTAATGGTATATTTGGGAAACAAACGAATGAACTAATCTAGTATTTAATGTTTTCTTTAATCCTAAACATAATTAAAATTATTTTTACGATTTAATATTACAATTTATACTTATTTCTGAAAGTAGATATTTTATTTTTCTGGTTTTTAGAATATTACAGGCTTAAATCGAGAGAGTTTCATAATTTTATCAACAACTAACGGCCCGCTCCGGCTTCGCTCGGGTCTTTTACAAAAATTTGAACGAAATTTGACGTTGTTTTATTTTTTAAAACAAATGAGCACCTATTGCGGCATAACTTAATAGACATAATAATATGCTGTCATCGACACTTTTTGTAAGTGTCGACACTTTGTGTTCTACAAAGTCGTAGTACATTATTTTAATCTATCATCAATAGTTTTCGCAGGGCACGCGATGTAAAGAATATTTTAGGTAATTTTTTTACACCTTGGGTTACATTATTGGAGCTTTAGTAAGGATCCGTAAGGATAGTAATTTAGTAAGGATTTTTTTCAAAACTTTAATTTTTTATGTCACTCGGGAATAGTGTAGTTTCCAAACAGTGAAATAATTTTTCTAATCGGTCCAGTAGTTTCGGAGCCTATTCGATACAAACAAATATTTCCTCTTTATAATATTAGTATAGATATAATATCATTGTATGTATTTGGAACATAATCACCAAACCAAAATGTTTTATTAGACAAAGTTTTCCGATTACGATTCGTCCCCGTCACCGCAAATTATTTAGACGCGTCATGTCAAATGGGATTGCATCATGTGTCACTGTGACGTGTTGTGAAATTTCCCGTGAGGCGTTCCGGGCTATAACCGGACGACGGTGTTTAGTACCGGTTTATAAATCAACTTCAACCCGTTATAAATGTCATGTAATGTAATTATCGTGTAGTGTATATTAATAAATGCTTATTACACTGGATTAAGGAATACGAATACCAAAAGTAATCTTAAAACCCAAAATACTTGAATTTGCGACAATACTGGTAGGGAGTTTTGAACACAAATGCCACCATTCTGTCGAGCTTTTCCCAGAAGCCGAGATGCGTTCCAGTTTTAAAGATGAGACAAACGTATCTAATTTATATAATTATTTACTGGTGGTAGAACCTTTGGTGAGTCCGCATGGGTAGGTACCACCGCCCTGTCTATTTCTGCCGTGAAGCAGTAATACTTTTCGGTTTGAAAGGTGGGGCAGCCGTTGTAACTATACTGAGACTTTAGAACTTATATATCAAGATGGGTGGCGTATTTAGGTTGTAGATGTCTATGGGCTCCAGTAATCAATTAAGACCAGGTGGGCTGTGAGCTCGTCCATCCATCTAAGCAATAAATATATATACATACATACATACAGGATGGTCATTATATATATATAATGACCATCTTGTATGATCATGACGCCAGGCTTTGTTCCCATCTGACAGGTATTTCAAAATGACTTTGAACTTATGTCTGAAATTGGGCGATGGTTTTCTTTGAAACAAAGAGCAACATGTTTCCTTTAAGCATAGGTCTGAGAAGGAGTTCGCGTCCCATCTATTGTTAGGGGGTTATGAAAGCCCATTAGCAGCAAAACGTGTATGCCGCTATCGCACTTAAGTCTACGTCTGAATTTCTTAGTAATTACAGATATTAAAATCTTTGCGGGTTTTGATTTTTATGATACAATATGATTTATATTATAAACTAGCTGACCCGGCAGACTTTGTAGTGCCTCAATCGATAAATAAAAGACCTAAACTTTTGTATAAAATAAACATAAAACAAACAAAAGGAATCCGTCCGGCAGGGGAAACATCAAAGGAAAAACAAAATTGTTATTTTTATTTAATTCCCAGCATTTTTATATTTATCTACCTTTTAAACCTTCTCTGGACTTCCACAAATAATTCAAGACCAAAATTGGTCAAATCGGTCCAGCCGTTCTCGAGTTTTAGTGAGACTAACGAACAGCAATTCATTTTTATTTAAATAGATTACATTAATAGTATGTATCTAAATATGAGTTAAGATTGCTAATAAAGGCTTCTCTATCTTTATATAATTCTTTCATTGTGAAAATCGTTCTTGAACATGAGTCAAGTACGTACTTAACATTAGTAAAATTGGTACCTGCCCGCGTTGTTTCAATACCGGCCTAGTTGCATAGCTTGTTACGAGTCTTTTCTTTCAAGCTACGAAAACTTCAAAATCAAATTCAAATGTTTGTTTCAGGTCTCCTCTTTCATAGAGCGATTTTGATGTCCGGATCTGGACTCAGCCCGTGGTCTTTGGTGGCCGACCCCAATAAGTATGCAGCAATTGTGGCAACACACGCCAACTGCTCACCAGGTTGGTTTTAATCTCGAGTAAAATGTAAAATAAATGTGTTAAATATATTATGTCTGTATCAAATGTTGTATTTAAAACTGTTATATTGTGACCAGGTTCCACTCTGATTGTCACCAAAATATAAATTTGATGATAGTCATCAAGTATCTATCCATTTTTGAAGTGAAACTTCTTTAGAATCGTTGTGATTTCAAACTCGATGAAACGAAATGAAACTAAACGAAAAAATAAGTGTGCCACGATTGGCTTGCCGAAGCGGCTCCGAGCGGCGCCGACTAATGACGAAGCGCTCCACACGGTCTCGCGTCCCCGACTAGTTCAGTGTGGTTTTTTTTCAAATTACTCCCGCGCCCCTTATCGTATTATGCTAATGATAATATGACCAAACCTTAATTAAATCTACTGTTACGCCTTAATCTGGTTACGGCGACTTTCGTGAGCAATGGTTCGCGACCACGAAAAGTATATAATACGTCGTATACTCGTATAATATAGTACCATGACAATAAAAATACGAGATTAACCCGTAAAGGAATATCAATAATGTCTACGACACACGAAACCTAAAGAACTGTACAAAGTTTCATCCACAATCACATCGATTCACATCCAAATCTATTGATTACTAACAACGAACGTACAAGAAACATATGAACTTATTCAATTCAGTATGAACTAGCTGCCACGCGTTCAATCCCCTCAGACACAGTCCAGTGAGTTTCTCGCCGGATCTTTTCAGTGGGTCGCGTTTCCGATCCGGTGGTAGATTCTGCGAAACACGGCTCTTGCTAGGGCTCGTGTTAGAAACGTCGTTAGGTTTGAGCCCCGTGAGCTCACCTAATAGTTAAGGTTACCCTGAAATAGCCTCTCAAGGCTCTCAGCTTTGGTAGGAAAAAAAAGCCTTCAATCTGTGAATGTGTTTACACCATATTATTTACTATTTATAGGTTCGATTACCCACCTAATAATACCTAGGTGTTAGAGTCGACGCAGATGGGCATTAAGATCTTGCCTTTTAGAAGTCGTCGTGGCCTAAAGGATAAGACGTCCGGTGCATTCGTATGTGGCGATGCACCGATGTTCGAATCCCGCAGGCGGGTACCAATTTTTCTAATGAAATACGTACTCAACAAATGTTCACAATTGACTTCCACGGTGAAGGAATAACATCGTGTAATAAAAACCTAACCCGCAAAATTATAATTTGCGTAATTACTGGTGGTAGGACCTCTCGGGAGTCCGCACGGGTAGGTATCACCACCCCGCCTATTTCCGCCGTGAAGCAGTCATGCGTTTCGGTTCGAAGGGTGGGGTAGCCGTTGTAACTATACTGAGACCTTAAACTTATATCTCGAGGTGGGTGGCGCATTTACGTTGTAGATGTCTATGGGCTCCAGTAACCACTTAACACCAGGTGGGCTGTGAACTCGTCCATCCATATCTAAGCAATAAATAAAAAAATCTACTGCCTGCTGCCCGTAGTCGTAAAAATAAATTGGGGTAGAAGACATCTTTGACGTCATCTGGAATTGGTGACGTCTCTAGCAGTTAGACCATATTGTCGTTGGCTTATAAAGACAGCGTAGCTGATACAGGAAAATTAGGGTATTTGATTATGAACGGTATTGATATTTTGATCCCTAGAGAGCTCATAATGGCTTATTCTTTCACAGACTTGACACCCCCAGCGCTGCTGCGATGCTTAAGAGAGCGACCATTAGAGGCATTGCTCTCCGCACCAGTTCAAGCGCCTGACTTCGCTTATGCCTTCGGGCCGAGCGTCGACGGTGTTGTTATAGGCAAGTAATTTAGTATTTTTTTTTAATCTCATTGCATCCGTGCTTCTTATTCAAAATTTCACAGCAAGTTAGAGTAAAAAAAACATGTGTGCAATTCACACGTGGTAGAAGTGAAACCTTCCAAAATTAAAATACAATTATCCTAAACGTCTTAAGTATATGTAAAATTTTGTCATTAGTAAATAATTGTAAGGTAGCGCCCTCTGTGAATTGATATTTTAATTTCAAGTATAATCCTAAATTAAAATTCACTACAAGAGCTTTCATACACACGTTAGTATTAAAAAATNATCCTAAACGTCTTAAGTATATGTAAAATTTTGTCATTAGTAAATAATTGTAAGGTAGCGCCCTCTGTGAATTGATATTTTAATTTCAAGTATAATCCTAAATTAAAATTCACTACAAGAGCTTTCATACACACGTTAGTATTAAAAAATCTCACAGATGGCGCTGTATTAAATAGTATGTATATTTCTGTCTCATTCTTTGCTGGCTTCATCCTACACAGTTTTGTATTTGTGTCTCTTACCTGTCGTTTTTTCCGTTGCATCCGGTTTGAAATCACAACGATTCTAAAGAAATTTCACTTCAAAAAGTACGATTAAATATTTTGCGAACCCTTTTGCAGTGCATAAAATAATGTATCAACGGACGGAATTCATTAGTTCGCTATATATGGAATTGATTTGTGCATATCTAGTAGATTAGTGTTAGCCGCTAATGAAATTCGTCCATAATCACTGATTAGATTCACTCATTACAATCACTTAATTTATATTTATTTTATACATACTATTTTCAGTCTTATTTTGGTATTAATACCATATTTAATATTGGATTTTTTTCTTGTAAAGATGGGAGAAATAAAATTTGAAAAAAAAAATTTATCGAGATTATTTTTAAGTTTGAATTTGTACTATAGCGTAAAATAATCATTCGATTAAAATGATAAACAGAATTTTAGTACCGTTCATACTTTTATCTAATGTCAGAATGTAGAAAACGTCATCTGCTTGTCATTGCTAGCCAATGAAATGAATAATAAAAGAAAATAATACAATACCAGCTATAATTATAACTTAACGCGAGGCCTTTGTATCATATTGGACTCTAGCCAAAATACAGTAGCTACAGTTGGTACGAAAAGAAATCGCAACGAAATGGCCTGAAACAAGGTCATAAATAAAGTATTGGTTATTTGTACTTCAGATAATTTAGGTCAGTGGGTATTTTTAGGAGTATTTTTGCGCATCGCTGCCATGACAATGGCTGCGGATGGTAAACAATAAAAACCTTATCGGATATATTTTATTGCTTTTTTTATTGTTATATTCATAAATTCAATAACTTAATAGTGAGGTTCTGATTAACGATAGAAAATGAGAAAATTTCTTGTAATTCGTTGGTCGTCGTAAAGACGACGATTGCTGAAGAGTGGTTACTGATGATGAGGACATCAGCAGGTGCATAGGTACAGCTGAGTACACTAAGTGTTTACTGGCTCCCATGAGTACCATGTGGATGTGACTGCCCATGATAAGGTAATGAGATAGAAATCTCAATTGTATTGTATAACGGCTGTCATAACCATCAAAGTGGAATGCAGGCATGGCTGTATCGCAGCGTAGTGCTATAGCTAGAAAATATTGTGTATATAATAAACGATTGCATCTCACATTAAACATCCAAATTATACTCATAGATTGCTTCAAATCAAAGCATACTTGTATCCTAGGTTTTATCGAAACTACGACTTGATGTTTCAAGATTGGTGAGATTTTTACTGGTGGTAGAACCTCTTGTGAGTCCACACGGGTAGGTACCACCAACCTGCCTATTTCTACCGTGAAGCAGTAATGCGTTTCGGTTTGAAGGGTGGGGCAGCCGTTGTAACTATACTGAGGCCTTAGAACTTATATCTCAAGGTGGGTGGCGAATTTACATTGTAGATGTCTATGGGCTCCAGTAACCACTTAACACCAGGTGGGCTGTGAGCTCGTCCACTCATCTAAACAATAAATAAATAAAAAGGATTGGTGGCGGCATGTACATACACCTAGCGTCAGTTAAGTCATCTTGCTACCAAATATACTAACACGACACAAATACCATAACTCATTCCAAAAAAATCCCATACGCGTCAAAACAATAGCAAATCCAAACGATCAAACATAAAACAATAAATGAAACACGAATTGTTCTAAGCATGACAAAGTTCCATCCGTAGAGCTATTTCCACGAAGAGTTCCCTTGCTTTCACTTCGGCAGCATTCTTGCGAGTTGTCAGCCGTTACCCGTCCACGATGCGTTATTAAATTGTCTCAAACTTTTCTCATCTTGTACCCTATTGGGAAGAGCAAACGTTTACCTCCGTTGTAGAACATTTTTTGCGATCCGCCTTTAAGGAGACATTTATTTTCTGTAGCGTTGATAGCAGGTTGAAAGAGATTGAGACTGAAATGGTTTTTTTTAGTCAAATGTCAGAGGACATTTGTCATCTGTCTCTGGAGCCAATATACCCATGTTTCACAAATTGAGAACTAAAAGATATTATTTGAAAAATTTAAGATTGAAAATTGAAAAATTGAAAATTTTTAAGTTAAGAGAAATCTACATTAGAAGTAACGCTATCGGCAAACCGATCTTAACTAATTTCGTAATAAAAAATTAAAGATTTATTCAAATGGATATGAATTAATTTAACGAGGATAGTAAAAGCCTATTTAACACTTTAACACAATTTAACGACCTTTGAATCAGGAACTTCAACCTCGTACTCTTAATGGATTTGCGTTAGTGTACATTTCATGTAACAACTGAATTGAATCTAATAGATGCGATAAAAGACATGCTCAAATCTCAAAGACCCAATTATATTTTACTATGCCCAAATCTAATTCTAGATTTATTTGTGCCAGATACAGGAGATCTCTTAGTCAATCCAGAAAATGGTTACGAATGGGGCGGCCAGACAGTTGCCCATGCGCCAGTCGGGAAACAAGCACAGAACGCTATTAACATCATCAACGCTGTGCTGATGAGAAAAAGTGCGGTGGCGCAGCTGACCAAGTAAGTATTAAATTTACGCACAGCTCACCATCTTTTTGCAATTATTGTAATGTTTTTGGACAATTCACAACTTTTGGTATTGGATACGCTAATCAGAATAGAAATTGCCGACAAGTTTTAAGCAAAATATGGTAAAGTATGGTTTTACAGACAAAAGAAAGTGGTGGTGGTAATTAAAGTAAGCCAGAATTCACTTGAAAAGGATAAGAAAGATACATTTATGATATCTTTTGGATTTGGGTTCAGTGCGCGGCAAAACGAAATCCATTGTATGGAGCGCGTGAATCCGCTGTGTCCACACAGCACTATGACATATTTTCACCATTAGGCATAAAAATATTTTAAGGGTAGTAGTGAACTAGCCGGTTTTAAAAACCCGCGGACAGTGGTGCCTATTGCAATAAAACATTTTCTTTTTTAAAGTAACTGTAGCCTATTTCAGTATTCACGCTATGACGCCTATACGCTCAGATCTCCATTAAACATCAGTTATAAACTAAAAAAGTCCTGACACTGTTAGGGTGGAATGACCTCTGAAATAAAATGGAATGTCTGCTCTTTTTAATAAAAGTAATTTCATTTCTGACGAGTCTATGACGAGCTTTTGAAGTTTTCTGTTACAGCGAACACACAATGTGCCAGTTGATTTTTAGAAGGAATTTTGTTACATACAAACGTTCTTCGAAGCCTTCATGTTCTGAGATATTGATAATAACAGTGTTCTTTGCGTTTAACAATCTCGTGTATATCTCGTTTCGTATCGAAATGTTTTTTACATTTTTTTAATTTAACATCTGTGTAACTCGTTACACTTGGAAAACGTTCTTAACCGTTGGTTAATTTTTTTTTTTTATTTCTTTTTTATTGTTTATTTGGATGGACGAGCTCACAGCCCACCTGGTGTTAAGTGGTTACTGGAGCCCATAGACATCTACAACGTAAATGCGCCACCCACCTCGAGATATAAGATCTCAGTATAGTTACAACGGCTACCCCACCCTTCGAACCGAAACGCATTACTGCTTCACGGCGGAAATAGGCGGGGTGGTGGTACCCACCCGTGCGGACTCTCAAGAGGTCCTACCACCAGTGATTACGCAAGTTATAATTTTGCGGGTTTGATTTTTATTACACGATGTTATTCCTTCACCGTGGAAGTCAATCGTGAACATTTGTTGAGTACGTATTTCATTAGAAAAATTGGTACCCGCCTGCAGGATTCGAACATCGGTGCATCGCTACATACGAATGCACCGGACGTCTTATCCTTTAGGCCACAACGACTTCAAAATACCTTGTTTTGAATACCTGTAAATGCGTACTTTCAAAACTGAAATTACATTTGGTGTGATGAGTACAGCTGTTAACATTGGCAGACTTAATAAGATTGTTGAATAGATGCGTGCTACAGCCGATGGAAAAGTTTCAATAACGCGATTATTATTTATTTACTTTCTAAGCAGATTGTGCGGAATATCAAATCAGATTAAGTCAATAAAATTTGATCAAATGAAGTAAAAAAAAGAAATGAAATCACTAGATACGTTTTGCGACTAATTGAAAATTTTAATTCTCGAAATAAATACCTACATACCATGTTATTTATTTTTGCAGCTATATAAAATAGATTTATTTCCAGATACGATTTGATGCTCGGAGTCACTAAAGCGGAAGCTTACTTCGCATTCAGCGGTGACGATGTACAGTATGGGATAGAAGCGGACAGAAGATCGAAGATTCTCAAGTCTTTTGTCAGAAATACGTATAGCTACCATCTTTCTGAGATATTAGCGACGATTATAAATGAGTATACGGATTGGGAAAAACCTGTTCAGCATCCAATTAACATCAGGTAAATTTATTTGGATGATCTACTTTTTTTTATCTGTTTGGATGATCACTACTATTTTCGGTCGTTTTTACAATGCTCTTTTGTTAATTTTTTCCTATCTATTCACTTAAGGCTTAAGTGGCTTAAGAGACTATTCCAACTGATAATGTTCGCACCGAGTGAGGCTAACAAGGAGAACAAGCGAGTTAGTAACAGGGTAGTCGTAAATCTAATATCATATCGCTTTGTTTACTTTCATCACTTGGTATCCTATTACGGAAACAACTTAGTACCGTGTAGCCGTTGAGTATACTCCTAAGTATATAATCCCCTGTATTTTTGTCTTAATTCTAACAGAGATGAAACTTTAGAAGCACTTAGCGACGCCCAAGTCGTAGCTCCAATGGTGTTGACAGCCGACACACATTCAGCGCTAAGAAGAAATTCGTATCTATACGTTTTCGACTACCAGACGAAGTACGGTGATTATCCACAGGTAATTGACTTATCAAAAATTTACTATTACAGAATTAAATGAATCTGAAATTCCACGAGGTAAAAACCTTTCAAAATGCACATTAGTTTTGAAAGATCAAAGCTACTTATAATCTAACTCAAATAGTGATATTATATTATGTCAAGATTATTGATGACCTTACTTGTTTACTTGTCCAGTCAAGCTTGTCAAAATTTAGTGGCACAAACACTAATTTTTATAAAGAGTTATGATTACCATATTTACATAAAAAAATTATAGTACAAACTGTAATTAAATATTTAAAATACTGGAACAAATTTATTTTAACTCTTAAATTTCGAAAAACCTATTGAAGACTCATAAAGTTATGATTATAATTACGTAGTAGAAAAAATTATGAATCCGCACAAGCTACTTACCTATTTGCTATCCTATCTATGTACCTTACTTCACTGGGCAAATTTTAATATTCCTGTGTTCTAGTTTGAAAGGCGTGGTAATCGTATACAAATAAATTCAAGGAATGAATATAATTAAAAACTATACGACAGAATTAAATCGTGATTTATTTTATTTTAAGTTTGCACTGTTTCCGTACGTTGCGTTAAACTTTAAAGAATTTTCTTTCTTTTCTTCATCTTCATGCTTAGAAACTCTTGGCCGTCCGTTGTTCAAATAGCCCATTATATCGTTCATGTAGAAAAATAGTTGATTTACGATTTACAATTAGTCATTTTGGATCAAAATAATAAATTATGAAACAATAAACCGATCTTAGAAATTTGCCAAACCAAATTTTCTGAGCTACAAATTTGCTTCAACTTTCAGTCTTCACTAAAAATTAGCTTCAATACTTCTAGTTGCCACTAACCGAACCCTAGAAAAGTTAGAAAGGAAATTAACAAGTTCTTAAGTTAACAACATTAATCATCAGGTAAAAGTTTCAGATTCGAATAGATGAGATCCGGTCTAGACATTTCGTAAAGAATGGGCTTTAAGCTTATTATAGCTTTTTTATTTAAATAATTTAATTAGGTATAACTGAGGCTATGGAATTGCCTTAGATAATATGTCTAGTAAATACAAAATAAGGGTAAAACAAAAGTAAAAAACTCAGCAACAGTTCATCAGCAACATTAGATCGCATTCGCATCGGGATGAGTAGCCTGTATTATTTTCATATAGCCCCCGGGGTTTTCTTTCTTCTATAATATTTGTATTATATTATTGTACATTATGTTCAGTACGTGATGACATAAGCTAGTAATGTAAAAAAGAATGTATCTTATTTAGAAATATTTGTAATTCCTGCGTAACAGGAAATGTTTTAGTTTCATAATCTTTTTTTTATTTTTTTTTATTGCTTAGTTGGGTGGACGAGCTCACAGCCCACCTGGTGTTAAGTGGTTACTGGAGCCCATAGACATCTACAACGTAAATGCGCCACCCACCTTGAGATATAAGCTGTAAGGTCTCAGTATAGTTACAACGGCTGCCTCACCCTTCGAACCGAAACGCATTACTGCTTCACGGCAGAAATAGGCGGGGCGGTGGTACCTACCCGCGCGGACTCACAACAGGTCCTACCACCAGTAATTACGCAAATTATAATTTTGCGGGTTTCACTTTTATTACACGATGTTATTCCTTCACCGTGGAAGTCAATCGTGAACATTTATTGAGTACGTATTTTATTAGAAAATTGGTACCCGCCTGCGGGATTCGAACACCGGTGCATCGCTTCAACACGAATGNTACCACCAGTAATTACGCAAATTATAATTTTGCGGGTTTCACTTTTATTACACGATGTTATTCCTTCACCGTGGAAGTCAATCGTGAACATTTATTGAGTACGTATTTTATTAGAAAATTGGTACCCGCCTGCGGGATTCGAACACCGGTGCATCGCTTCAACACGAATGCACCGGACGTCTTATCTTTTAGGCCACGACGACTTCAAGCTAATCACAATCGCTAATCTCGTTCGTGAACAACAAAACAAATCGACGCTTGAAAGGCAAACGTGACTAAGCGACAATAACTGATTTGTTTATAAATGATAGGCAATAACAACCATTTTCGACGAGCAAAAAAAAAAATTTTTTTTTCTAGGTCTATTAAAATCATTTCAATCCTACAGCTACTAGCTAGATTCTACTACAGCTAAATTCGTTAAAATAAATTTTGTTTTCAGGTATTTTAACTTTAAATTAGTCTACTGTAAAATTCACGCATTGTCGCTTAGTCACTTTTGCCTTTCAAGCGTCGAAATACATATTTTCTAATCGTATATGTACAATTCTCCTAAACGAATTAACTAATAATTGCTAGCACTCGCTGGATCATGAATGGAATATTTAAGCTGAATTCAGGCTCCATTCGCCATCGTGTGGTTCTAATAAATACGAGTGTTGGTTAATTAATTAATTAAGTTTATACGTCGCGTGTTTGTTTGATAAATGTTTTGAAGTATTTATCGTATTTGACATTAATTTTGTTTTTGAGTTATTACGGCATCCAGTTAAGTTAGCTGTTCGATGGTTTTATTATTTCTAAGCGAGCACACGGTCATTCCGATGTTAGTGGTTATTCTAAGCGCATAGATGTGTATGTCACCTTCTAACATGAAATTTTTGGTGGGAAATAGGTACGATGGGGGAAAATAAGGGAAAATTATGACTAAGCGGAGAAAGATATTGGAAGAGAAAAGGTACTTAAGGAGCGAAACATTTCTGTTGAACATTCATAAAAAAATGTGTGGTGTCGTAGGACACCGGATTTGCATAAGTGTTAGTGTATTGCGCAAACGAACGCTCTGAGATCGTGGTCAATGAATGATAAAAAAATATGTTATTTTTTATACGTTATTACAAAGGTAAGTCGTGCACTGTGTACATTACTAATTTGTACGTTATAACAAAGTTAAGTCGTACACTGTGTGCATTAATGCTAATTAAAATCTTACGTTACGGACGTTTTTCCCGGTTAGGGTACCCCCCCGCATCGTCTCATAAGGAACTTCGTTCCAAAAAATATTTATTCTTTTTAGATATACAAGATGTTTCTAGAAATTGATTACCGACGAACACAATATTTCCGAATAATTTGTATGGACTCTGCTTCGAAAAAGAAAAGTAATATAAATATATGCATATGATTTTACTTACATTCGAATTAATGAGGTACTCATGTGTTGCGAGCACGTTTTAACTAACCAACAGGGTTGAGTTAATTCAGAAAGCTCCTGTAGAAAATGCACTTTGAAACTCAATCATCTCGGCTCTTCCTTTAATCTCTCGCTTAGTTTCAGTCCATTAATAAAAGCGAAGCTCAGTTACCTAGTTAACGAAGACAGGTCTTATTATCGAAGCCTTAAACATATAGCAATAATATCTCTATCATCTGTTTTTACATAATTATATACAGTTCGGTTTGCGATGGCAAAATTGTGAACAATACTTTAAAGGTGTGGACTTATTCCAAAATGGATTCAGGATAGAAATCAGATTTAATTGTTTGGTATTTTCTCAATAGAAAGGTTAAATTTTTAATGCTATTTTTACTTCTACGTTTTTGGAACGAAGTTTTTTTTTGGGACGATGCCTGGTACCCTAACCGGGAAAAAACGTCCATAACGTAAGATTTTTATTAATAATGCACACAGTGTACGAATTAACTTTGTAATAACGTACAAATTAGTAATGCAGACAGTGTACGAACTTAACTTTTTAATAACGTACAAAAAATAACATATTTTTTTATCATTCATCGACCACGATCTCAGAGCGTTCGTTTGCGCAATGCACTAACTCTTATGCAAACAAACGTGAATGAAGTGTACCACAATAAGTTCGCACGTTACGAAATGAACGTGGGCTGTTGCGAAACCTCTAGTTTTATTTTCTTTATACCTTGAATAGAACTTGAAATTAATATTTTTATAATAAGAAACTTCGTTCCTATCCGGTGTCCCACGACACCACCCATCTTTTTTTGCTGTTGTTGTATGGGCTGACGAGTTCAAGATTCATGTGATGTTAGATTGTTGTAGAAATCCACAAATGTCACAACTAAAACGCACCTAGAAGCTTGAGATAGAAGTCATAATATTGTATTATGTAACGGCTGCATTACGACTGACTACATTACGGTTTGTCTACAATTCGAACCATACCCATGAATACTTCGTGGCAAAAATAAGTAGGTTAATGGTACATTTGTAACCGTGTGAGTTCAAGTGGCACCTAACTACCTTTTTTTTATTGCTTAAATGGGTGGACGACCTCACAGCTCACCTGGTATTAAGTGGTTACTGGAGTCTATAGACATCTAAAACGTAAATGTGCCTCCCACCTTGAGATATAAGTTCAAGTATAGATACAACGGCTGTCCCACCCTTCAAACCGAAACGCATTACTGCTTCACGGCAGAAATAGGGAGAGTGGTGGTACCTACCCGCACGGACTCACAAGAGGTCCTACCATCATAAAAAATTCATTCATTCAATATTTCGCTGACGTATGTAAATTTAGTAAAAATAAGAATATTTTTTTATATAATACTGGGCTGAAACCTGCGCTCGGAAGCAGAATGAAAGGATGGAATGCTCTTTCCCAGGACTCAAATTATTTTCATACGAAATTTCCTCAAAATCAATTCAATAGCCAGAGTCTTAAAGCGTAACAAAGAAACATCATTATTGCCTTCGTTTATTATTTGCTATGTAAATTAAATTTTAACATGTAACAGTTTAAAGAGTTTTTTGCCAACATCCCATTTTAATGAAAAAAACGATTCATGCCACTCCAAACTAATCTTTACCAACTTGTAAAAACTACACTACTCGACAATCCGTTTAGAAGTCCAAAGTTGTGCACGAAAAATCTAACAAATAGACCATCACAAAAGTTGAAGGCGTCGTGGTCTAAAGGATAAGACGTCCGGTGCATACGTATCGAGCGATGCACCGGTGTTCGAATCCCACAAGCGGGTACCAATTTTTCTAATGAAATACGTACGTGACTTTCACGGTGAAGGAATAACATCGTATAATAAAAATTAAGCCCGCAAAGTTTTAATTTGCGGAATTACTGGTGGTAGGACCTCTTGTCAGTCCGCCCGCGTGGGCACCACCACCATACCTATTTCTGCCGTGAAACAGTAATGCGTTTCGGTTTAAAGGGTGGGGTAGCCGTTGTAATTACGAGTATACTGAGACCTTGAACTCATATCTCAAGGTGGGCGGCGGCATTTACGTTGTAGATTTCTATGGGCTCCAGTAACCACTTAAAATAAATAAAAAATAAAATGTATCTAAATATGGTGTTTTTTTTTTTTTTATTGCTTAGATGTGTGGACGAGCTCACAGCCCACCTGGTGTTAAGTGGTTACTGGAGCCCATAGACATCTACAACGTAAATGCGCCACACACCTTGAAATATAGTTCTAAGGTCTCAGTATAGTCACAACGGCTGCCCCACCCTTCAAACCGAAACGCATTACTGCTTCACGGCAGAAATAGGCGGGGCGGTGGTACCTACCCGTGCGGACTCACAAGAGGTCCTACCACCAGTAATTACGCAAATTATAATTTTGCGGGTTTGATTTTTATTGCACGATGTTATTCCTTCACCGTGGAAGTCAATCGTGAACATTTGTTGAGTACGTATTTCATTAGAAAAATTGGTACCCGCCTGCGGGATTCGAACACCGGTGCATCGCTAGATACGAATGCACCGGACATCTTATCCTTTAGGCCACGACGACTTAATGTAATGTGGTCTGTAGTTAAAACGGTAACTGTGTTACTTTTTACTATTTAATGAGTTAATAAACGAATTAATACTTCTTGAAAGCTTACTCTACAACTCAAAAGAAGACATCTAGAACTTTGTAACGTCGTGGCCTGAAAGATACAAACGACGATAAAGTTTCGAATGACTTTCGTTCAGGTTGTGAAGGCGTTTTGTAACTAGGTCTCAAGTCAACAAGCCGGATAGCGGGCCGTTCTGTTGAATTATAACCGCCTAGAATTTCCAAGACTTAAGATATTTCAGTTTGACTTTTTGATTCTTTTTTTTTAAGTTTTGGAAAATATGTAATAAAAAAAAATCGATTCTCTGTAAAGTCGGTTTACTGACGATAGTTCAACGTGACAACGTCATAAGAAAATACTGATGGAATGGTTTCATTTTTCAATTATCGCAATTATCGTTGCTATAAACAATTGACACCACATTCACTTTTCACTGCACTTCATACTTGACGAAAACATGTACGCCTCAGAGCGAGGTAACACTGCATGAGTCATGTTTTTTTCGTGCGTGCAGCCGGCTTCATCGAATTATAAGACGTTGTCACATCAAAATGTGTAATACCTAAAACACAATTGCCAAATATGTGATTGAGTATCACTTGAGAGCGATTTGAACGACTTTTGACAATTGTGGTTGATATGAATCGAAAATTTAATGAATATTTTGAATTTCTCGATTTACTACAATTTTGTTTCGCTATTATCACTAATATGGCGATAGTCACAGTGGAATCTTACCGAGTGTCGTTAATTAACCGTAGTTTAAAACTTAAGAATACATTTTATTTAATATCAATAGGATCCATTATAGTAGATGTCTTATTTATTTTATCTGTGGAAATGACTCCATTTAAAAATTTAAAATACAAGTATTATTTTCACTTTTTGTATAGCTACATATTAAATACCTTTTCCAAAGAGACTGTATAATTATCCAACACTGGATTTTTAAGAAAGTTTTAATCGTCCCTTTAATCGTTACTTTTCATCCCCATACCCCACTACCATGAACATTAGCATTTTGAGACATTATTAGGGATAAGCACTTTAGATATCAGATATATTTTTTTACGGATCATGAGCTCTGTTCGTAGTATTATAATACTAGTTTGTCTCGTCTACATGGGTATTTCCAAATTGTTGAAGTGAGTAAATAGTCAATAAAAAACCTGTTACGCCAATAGTATTTTATAAAACATATTATTATTATTAGCGTAGTGGTTAACGTGGTATGGACATGTGATGCGTAGAGAGAAGATGCATGTGATTGGGAGATGTATGGAAATGGTTGTGCAAGGTAGAAGGGGAAGAGGTCGATCGAAGAAGACATGGATGGAGTGTGTGAATGACGATACGAGAGAGAGAGTAATTAGTATTGAGCTGAAGGCTGATAGAAGGTAATGGAAGAAAAAAAATAGCTGTACCGACTCCTCCTAGTGGGATAAGGTGAAGAAAAAGAAGGAGATCTTATAATTATTATAATTATCTATAGTAGAAACACTAAGTGTGTACAAAAATTAGGTATGCTAATAATCATCATATATCGTATTTCCCCAACGTCACTATGCGAGAGCAATAATTGAGGAATTTCAAAAATCGTTAATTAAACCTTCTCTCGGTCATGAACCTTGAAAAGTTTTCAAATTAATAAAATCGGTCATTGAAGAGTTGCTAAAATGTAGCGTGGTTTGATAAGAGCCATAAATTCTAACGTAAGACTATTCACAGCGTCAAGGCTGCATCCACGGGGAGGAGCTTCCGTACATATTCGGTGCGCCCCTGGTCGGTGGTTTGGCTCACTTCCCTAGAAACTACACGAAAGCTGAAGTCGGCCTGTCTGAATCCGTCATGTTATATTGGGGAAACTTCGCTAAGACTGGGTGAGTTTCGAATTTAATTGCCTAAGTCCGGCTTTCGTTTAATAGATCTGTAGTATTAGAAATGTTGATTGTAACGTGGAAACAATTGTGGTTTTTAAGGTTGTACTGAAACCAAACCTTTTTACTAGTTTCAAATTGATAAAATGTAGTTCTGATAGAGCCTGCACAATAACATATTTCAAAGACTCTTACGATCGTAAAGCTGTCCAATAATTATTATTAATGGCTTGTGTAAGAGGTTTTTTTCATCTTTAGACCCAGACTTTTTTAAAACGTACTTTCAAAGGGTATTTTTACTTTAGTGACTTGAGTAACGACAGCGGTAGGCAGCGGCTTGGCTCTGCCCCTGGCATTGCTGAAGTCCATGGGCGACGGTAACCACTCACCATCAGGTGGGCCGTATGCCCGTCTGCCAACAAAGGCAATAAAAAAAAAAAAAAAAAACTCAACACATAGTATATAATATTTGTTTTTTCGGAGATTACTCCTTAAGAAATCAGTTTAGTCAAAGTTGAATTTTAGGAAAACTATAGGGATAGTAAAATTCAGTGTTACATTTACAATTTAGTGCTACCAAAAATGTTACATTTTTAATTCAATAATAATAGTCTTAATCACATATCATCTAAACAGCAAACCCTACAATTTCATCATATTAAAAAAGCATTATATTTCGAACGCTAGGCTAGCTTAATGGAACGAATATTGGTTTAATTAATATGCTATTAGGCTTCCCTGTATTTCTCTCTCATTATACCCTCGACGACTTTCGTGATGCCAGAATGTCTCAGAATGCGTTTATCCATCTATACCAATATGTACCATTAAGTTGTAGGTGTGCTTTACAAATGAATACTACTACAATACTTATTTATTATTTTATTATTATTTTTATTGACACAGCAACCCTAATGAAGCTCAAGAGACTGATCCTATAAGAGCTGGAAGACAGGAGCGAGTTAGAATGAAGAACATCGAATGGACTGCCTACGAAGCTGTTCATAAGAAATATTTGAACATTGACATAAAGTCAAAACTCAAGAACCATTATAGAGCGCATAGGTAAATTATCATATAATTTGTAACGACACCAAAAGAAATTACAATAGTACAATAAACTATTACTTTTTTTTTCTTTCTGATTTTTTTTATAGCTAGATGGGTGGACCAGCTCATAGCCCACCTGGTGTTAAGTGGTTACTGGAGCCCATAGACATCTACGACGTAAATGCGCAACCCACCTTGAGATATAAGTTCTAAGGTCTCAAGTGTAAACAACAACCCCACCCTTCAAACCAAAACGCATTACTGCTTCACGGCAAAAATAGGCAGGGCCGTGGTACCTACCCGCGCGGACTCACAAGAGGTCGTACCAACAGTAATTGTAACAATAATGTCGCAAGATTTTCCCTTTGACATTTAAGTACAATACAAAATTAATTTTGTTCACAGACTTTCATTTTGGTTGAATTTAGTACCAGATCTCCATCGTCCAGGAGGCGAAGATGTACCGCCAGCTCATCATCAACTTGAAAATGAGGACAACTCGATCCAGCCAACACCCAAGACCTATAGTCCAGCCTTCAAAAAAACAACTGACGTAATAGCTGATACAGGACTTGCCACAAAAATACCAGTTCTAAACGTTCTTAATATAACCTCATCGTTAAATTTCAATATCGTAGGAATGAATAGTGTTACTCAAAGTACTGCCAGTGAAGTACAAAAATCTGAAACCACAGCCGCTAGTCCGCCCGAAGATGGATTCGCTGCCTATTCCACAGCGCTCAGCGTGACAATAGCAATAGGATGCTCATTACTCATTCTCAATGTGCTTATATTCGCCGGAGTATATTATCAAAGAGATAAAACAAGGATGAACGGCCAAGACGGACACAATAATGGATCGCATCTAAAGAAACGCGTCGAAAATGGCCAGATGCCAAATAATATTTGCGGCGATCTCGAAGGAGCTTTATCGTATCAGACCAGTCTGAAAAACGATCCCGCGACAATATTGAGCCACCACCACACGCATTCACATCACCAACTGCCACCGCCAGAGTTTGCCGATTTACCAGGAAACAACGTGGCGGGCATGGCCACGCTACCAAGAGCCCCACCGCCACCGAAAATAGGCAAAACTATAAACACACTAGCAAGTGGTCAGCTACAGGAGAACCAGCCTTTGTTATCGGCGCATCAGATGCAGATAATGAACACGAGCACTTTAACTAAGAAGAACACGCAGATGAATGCAAAGTCGAACGTCACGATGGAGGAGCTGCGGGTGTGACGTCACAGGGCCTGACTGCAGCGTGCGGGCAGCTGCAGTGACGTGGCCCACCACGACGAGATCGTGTGACTCGAACCCGACCTTCTCAGGTGCGTCGCAGATTACATATAGAACTACAACGTCTCTGCACCACCTGAATTCGGAAGGTTTAATTTTAGGACTCACATTTCCGAAAACTCTAATTCGAGTGAAGTGTCAAAAATTTATAGTGAAAAGTGACATTAGATAAATAATCATATCGGGTTAATGGACGTTCGTGAACGAATTTTTGGTACTGATAATGTTGATGTGTATATTGGATGTAAATATAATATTATTTTAGGGTTTGTAAATATAGCTCGGCCGCATATCCATTCTAGTTAAATTGTAACCTCATCTAGATTTATCGGTACCTCTTCGGCTAATGAACACACGCAAAGATACAAAAAAAATTGATGTTCTATTAATTATGAAAACTGGTTGTATGTGTGTACTTACATTCAATATAATTTTTCCTCTCAAAATATTGATTACGTTGTTATGTTAAATTCGACTCAGAAGATATAAAATCGTAACTGTTTTTTTTCCCCTAATACGTAATATCCGGTTTTATTTATACACGCTGGTTAGTATTCTTAGTTCTATATCGTAAAATTTTCGTATGAAAGTGATGAAAATAATATTCGAAACTATGTAGAAGCTAATAAATAAACAGCTTTCGAGATCAAATACATAAAATGGAACATTGGAGCCTCTGGGTCTGCGGAGGGACTTCGGTTCCCTCTGTATTTTGTACCGTATGTTCCATGGGGAGTGCTCTGAGAAATTGTTCGAGATGATACCAGCATCTCGTTTTTACCATCGCACCGCCCGCCACCGGAGTAGAGTTCATCCATACTACCTGGAGCCACTGCGGTCATCCACAGTGCGTTTTCAGAGATCTTTTTTGCCACGTACCATCCGGCTATGGAATGAGCTCCCCTCCACGGTGTTTCCCGAGCGCTATGACATGTCCTTCTTCAAACGAGGCTTATGGAGAGTATTAAGCGGTAGGCAGCGGCTTGGTTCTGCCCCTGGCATTGCTGAAGTCCATGGGCGATGGTAACCACTCACCATCAGGTGGGCCGTATGCCCGTCTGCCTACAAAGGCAATAAAAAAAAATAAAAAAAAAAATGCGACATTTCACAACAGACACTATTTTAGTTTTTGAAAACTCATGTTACTTCTAAAAATAATTGACCTACAATTTTAATTTGAAGTCGAAAATCCAAAAATAGAAAATACGCACTATGCAAGAATCTTTAATACGTTTTTTTGTAAAACGAACAGATGACCTTATAAGTTTGAAACTACATATATTATAAGAGCTACCAATCATAAAAATATCAAACATGAACTATAATGTACATACGTGTTGTATTTGTAATAATCATAATACAAAATATTAAAAGAATTGTCAAAAGTTAACCTTTAAGGTTGATAAAAACATGTAAAAAATCATGTCGAATTCAATTATATTGTTGTAATATACTTCAAATAGACATACGTAAGTCTACTAAATTAAATTCTATAGTAATAGCCAAACCAGATTAATCATAAAGAAACTTTATTACGTTGTAATAATATTAAATTTAAAACACCAAATATTTAAACAGCATGTTGCTAAACAAATTAAGCAATAATTTGCTACAAATTATTTAATATATCGCTAATGTCGTGAGAAATGTGGTAATTCGTTTCAGTTTGGTTGATTTACTGTAAAACTATACCAACTACCTTCGAGCAGCAATAGCCTTAGCTTTATGCCAGTATTTCTTAGAACAACTCTTTCCAGGTCTGACGCAATTTCACAAAAACAAAACAACAGCGATTTTAGTTTTAAAATCATATCATTGTCAGTCATTGCCCTATTGATTGCGTAACCCAGACCAACAGAACAAAAAGTCTGGTTTCGATTTCCGGTCTGAGTAGTGTCTTTTGCAAAAGTATTTTGATGATCAGGGATCTGAGCAGTTAATTTTTTATTTCACACACATATAGGTCCTCGTTCGCACGTATTACGTGATTATCCGTACAACGTGAAACTCGCGACTGCCCCTCAGAACGACCAAATCCCAACGAACAGTCTGTCCTAACGCCCGATCCCCGCTGGAAACAGAACTCGGACATAAGACAGGGGCCTGATTCCGCCGTCAACACTATCTGGCCGGCTTAGTAATTGAAATTAGGAGCGCCCCATACGATGCCAATGGTGTACCGGAATACCCCGCTGGTCTAGAACTAACCTGCAGGGCTCTATCATGCAACGTGCTAGATTAAATTACTTATAGTGCGCCGCGTGACCTCTTTCCCTCTTGTCGTCTCGCAACCATCATGGGGGAAGGACGGCTACAACTAGGGAAAATAGCAGGGGTGCCACATCACCTACTAAATCAATGGATAATTAAATGGGCTTAGCTTGGGGCAGTGCGAATGTGAATCGCTTATTAAAGATACTTGTGTTCAAATGTTATGAGACATTGAAGACTGGTTTTTTTCCTAACTATTCATTGGTAGCCTAGGGGATATTCCAACTTCGCGTTAATCGGTAGCTAATGGTCTCAGCTTGAGAGAATTGCTGACACTATCCCTAACAAGAGCAGTGCTTCGCTGAATCTACTACCGGATCGGAATCGCGACCTACTGAGAAGATCCGGCGAGAAACTCAGTGGGTTATTGAAGTAATGGTAATCCTACTATTTAAATCGGAATGTATGATGACACCGCGATAGACTTAGGTAGGGTAATGATACGGATCCGGGTTCTCACAAAGGATTACAGGTAATTACGCAAATTGTAATTTTTGAAAAGATACCTATTACTGTTATGTTCTTATTATCTGTCGACAGTGAATTATTAATGGAATGAATGATTCTGCTGTTTCGCTGCCTTTGTAAGCTAATTAAATACACATTTCTTCGACATTTTAATTTTGTTTTCAAAATAGAAGGACCAACAGTGTTTTGTATATATGTAAATATTAGTGTCACGGTGTAAACAGGTTTTTTGAATTGTTTTACTTTAAATTTTTGAAAGGGACTGATTTGAATGCGCCGGAATACTGAATTGCATATTTAAGAAGAGATTTTGAAAATTGTTATTAACTATGAAAGAAAAGAAACAAGAAACAGACAAAAAGAAGCGTTCATTTTGAAATAGATTCATAGCTTTATAGTGTGCTGACTAGTTCTGAGCCAACTGATGTTAAGATAATGAGGGTATCGGGATACATAAAACATCAAAGATACCGCCACCTATCTTAAGAAAATCGGATAAAGTTCAGTTAGCACTGGGATAAAGACATCAGACTACTCTTCTAACCTAAATATATGAACACCTGGTGATGAGTGATGAACATGATGAATGATGATGCGTGCGAAATCATCACGTCCCATACCATCAATAATACAGATTTTCTGTAAGGAGTTGAAGAAGTTGTCTGAATAAAATGACAATACTCTCAATACATTGGTAGGAAAGTAACACAAGTAGTTAGAAGTGGCCAGGGTTGTGACTGATACAACTATTCCAATAAACATCTGGACAGACTATTACGGTAACTATTTTGTCTTCAAAACTAAAGCGATGACTTAAATACGTCTTAGAATACGTCAAAAATTAATCTAGATACGAATCGATTGCCAAGCGGAAGCCGTCTTTAGCGTATTACTTGAAAACCGGACAGCTGGTATACATTTATTGATTTTTTTGTATATTTCAGTAGATTTTAGATTAATTAAATTTCTGAGGAACCGCAATTTTGAGCTATACTTACAGAATGACTGATAGTTCAAATGCTGTTATTTGTAAAATAGAGCTTTATTACAAATAGCCATTATGTTTTACCTACCGATATATTATTATGATTAACGTAAGATATAGTTAGTTTATTATTAGGCAATAGTTTGGCAAGGACTCATGTGAGCGACAGTCGATACTGACTACGTGGGTCGTAACTGTTCTGCTATTGATCGCAATGAAATATACAGATATAATGCGAAAATCACATACCTAATTAATACATGCTCTATTCTTGCATTGATTTTATATTCATTTTAGGAAATTTGACTTTATAACCCTTTCTGTAGTTGCACTAATTGTTTTATTTTAGTACCGTTTTAAAATGGTTATCGCCCAATATCTGAGGAAGACAAAGGCCAGTCTGACTCAAAAATAGCTTAAAATTCTCAAAGTCATCTCACCTAATCCCGAAGAACCTTAGCGGACAAAGGTAATGTTGATCACCAACCATTAACAGTAGGCAATATCTTAAGATAAAAAAAAACCTATGAATACAAAAAAACGCAAGGTGAATCCGTGAAAGGCTTGCGAATATACTAAGATTATAATAAAGTAAGTCACTACGTAAACGAAGCTGTATTATCTATTTACGTGATACAAATGTTTTATATGCATTTCAGTATTCAAACTTTTATAAAACTCCATAAGAACGTATTTATCTATGATATCATTAATTTATTTATTTAGAGAACCGTTAAAAGGTCATTAAATTCAACAGACATTTTTAACTTCTAGTTATATTTTCTTGCATTTGTTTTACGTGTATTGTTTGTATAATTTTTAATCGATCAATACAAATTGATAGGGAATGTGATTTCGAAATACACTAATGTGTCTACTTTATCTAATTATCTAAATTTGGCTACAAACTTATCTGCCAGCTTGCCTGTATGAACAATCATTTTGTTTGAACGTATATTTATTCACGGTTTGATTTATGTAAATCGTTGTAATTTACTTGAGTGGCTGATTAAACGAATCCGAGCACATTTCGTGACTTCTCAATATCAAGCATTAGATCGCCTAATTCCACTACAAGTCCGATTTAATTTTCCATTCAAAGTCAGTATATTTCTTTAATATTTATTTTATACTAGCTGACCCGGCAGACTTCGTAGTGCCTCAATCGATAAATAAAAAACCTAAACTTTTGTATAAAATAAACTTAAAACAAACAAAAGGAATCCGTCCGACGGGGGACACATCAAAGGAGAAACAAAATTGTTTGTTTTTATATAATTCCGAGCATTTTCATACTTATTCACCTTTTAAACCTTCTCTGGACTTCCACGAATAATTCAAGACCAAAATTAGCCAAATCGGCCCAGGAGACTAACGAACAGCAATTCATTTTTATTTATATATATAGATTTGGGGTCTGGGTGTGTTTTTCCACGTGTTTCTGTTATCCCTAGCACCAACGCCGTTTCATTATGAAAAGTTAATTTATTTACTGTATTTAGTAAATAACGTATAAACAGAATGATTGTTCCTACAGGCCTGTTAAGCTTATTTACCTAATCTCTGTTTCGTTCAAAGGAAATTAGGAAATGCTATATTATAGCCTTATGGGTATTTATTATTTGTTCCATTTTCCTAAAAAAATGTTTATTTATATTCGAAGATGGAAAATTATTTATGAGATAATAATAAAAATAATGACTATTTTTCGGTTCTTAATTATATGATTTTTATTTAGTTCAATATTTATATTTTTCTGTCT